CATCCAGAGTCAAGCTTGCTCAAATGAGTTGTTCTGTGCAAGATGTTTGTGAAGCAGCCAGTCAGATTCTTTACTTAGGTCAAACTATACTGAATCTGCCATGTTCCCTCCCATTTCTCACTTTGTAATGGTTTCAATATTGTAATTGGACTTGTCTGCATTTTATTTTCCTCAACTGACCCATCCTTGCTACCGTTCATGATCCCTGTGTCCTAAAGGGGAGGGATTTTGAATCGCTTAGCTAATGGGTCTGATTGTTTTCTCTGGGAGACCAATACCACAGATTTTAATCAAAGCAAACTCAGAGCTCTTATTTCAAGAGGAGTAGAGTATTCTCTTGGCTGCTTGTGAAAGTCCCACCCTGCTTGTACAGTGTTATACATGAGCATTGTTTTGGTTTTGTTTTACAGAACATGTCTCAAGGTCTCAATAAGACATTTGAAGTGGGTTTTAGCACCTAGATAAAGTTTGCGCATGTATGCCCATGTGCATGGAGATACCAGCAAACATGTTGGAAGAACATTCTGGTTGTAAGGCCGCGCTGCTGAAAACCCTTACGTCAAGGTCCTGTATAGAAGCTTAATTTGTATCCCTGTACCCCATGTGTATTTTGACACAACATTCAATTATATGGTCCCATGACATTGCCTGTTGCAGTATCTCTGACTTGGGAATCTTGGGTTGTCTCAAAGTTCTTGGAGTTGAATAAGCTTTACCTTCATTTCCTCCTTGCTGGGGCAATGCTTGACCTGCCTATCACATTTTCTTCCAGTTGTACATGTCCAGTTGTCTCTTGGAAGATGCAGTGGGAATGTGCAATGTCCAGACACTGAACAGAACCGCATTGGAGCTGGAACTCAGAATGCCCACAGTGGAGCCAACCCCTGTATGCAAGTAGGTCTTTTCAAGGAAGGCTGCCTACACTCAAAATTGTGCACAGCAGTCCTTGCTTGCACACTCAAACCCCAGAATGCACTAAATCAAAATACAGCCTCCTACAGACCTGGGAACAGAGCTTTCCTTCACTAGGATGAACAGGACTCTGCCTTCATATAGCTGCTTGCCTATGAAGTAGTTTGACATCATCTAGACACAGTTGTAACTTTTTGGCAAGCATTCTTCTGGCCTGGATGACTTGTACCGTGTTGTCTAACATGATTTCTGTCATTTTGTGAGCCTGTATTAAGCTGCAAGAGTTTCTTGATTACTGCCAAATAGAAACAGGTCCATGTCTTAAATACCCAGGGAAAGGGAGGCATATACACTTAAAAACTCAAGTTGTGATAATGTGGTCATAATTCCAAATGATAAATGATTTGCTTTTCATATATTCATGTGAAGAGGATGTAACAAGACTGAAATGACAGAGTAAGTGGGGTTAGTGCAGGATTACTGCTATTGTCCTGACTTGACTTTGTTTTAAGGTTCATTAGCAGTGCTTGTCAGAATAGCTGTCTTGGACTGCAGTGCCCTCTATCTAGCTGCAGAAATACGTACAGGCTTGGCCATTTTAGCATCTCTCTGCAGCCAGGCTGTTGCAAACCACACTTAACTGTGCTTTGGCTATTCATCGTCATATAGAGCCAAAATGCTTTCAGGATTAGCCAGGGCAGAGTGGTGTGTCTCTGCCAAGTAACTGTGATTTCTGCTCAGCCAATTGCATTCCTAACAATTGTATCTGAATGGAAAGAAGGCTGTTATGGGGCTGGGTTACATTAAAGGGAAAAGGAAAACCCCATGGGTAAAACTGAGCAGAGGAAGACAAAGGAATAGGGAGAAAAATAAGTGTATGTGCCTGTAAGTTTCTAGAACAGGTTGCTGTGATTGCTTGAGCAGGATGTCAAAATGTACATTGAAAAATGATGCTCTATCATTCTTGGGAAGAACGCAGTGTTGAAGAAAAATGAAATAATGGGAGAAGGGGATAAATTCCATACCCAACCTTGTCCTTTAAAGGACATACTGTGTCCTGCACATCCAAGTCCAACAATGTCATCTTCTTGGAGATGCCTTTTGGCCACGATAAGCCTTAGTCAGGAAAACATGCAGCCTTTTTCTGATAAAATGTGCAGGAAAGGGAATTTTTGTTCCAGTTTATTGAATGATTGATGGTCATTTATATCCAATTTGGAAAAGCTGTTCTGTTCCTCAGTCGTTTCTTGGCTAGCGTGCTAATAAAAATGCATTGTATAGGGCTATTGCTGAATTTCATACAATGCAATAACAAAAGTTGCTTACTGAGGGACAAGAGGGGCTCCTCCAGAAGGTGGAAAATGATAGTAATTATAAGGCCAATGGACTGGACCTTGCTTATATTTGCTAAACTGAAGGAAACGTTACAAAAGCTTTACTGATTTCAGGAGAGAGTTAAGCATTTAGGAAGCAATTACCTCTTGATTTAAAGTGGGATTTAGGCATGGAGGGTATTTAAATGTAGTACCAGGCCTAAATAGCAAGAAGAAAGAAAAAGATTTTTGGCACTGGGGAGATTTCAGTTTCCTCAACGGAAATCTGTAATCGATGGAAATTAGGCTTCACAGTGCCTAAACTGCACCTGCAAATGCAAGTATAACCCCAAAGTCACTTAAGCAAACTAGAAAACATGGTGTCTTGCTTTGCAAAAAGGATGAAAACTGGCAGGACTACTGGACTCAGAATACTGTGATCAGTGACACGAATGGATAGCTGATTGCTAGTGGCATCTCAGAGGTTGATGCTAATGCTAGTGCTCTTTAACCTCTCTATTTACAGCCTGGATGATGAGTGAAGTCTCAGCAAATGTGTAATATTAAGTCGGAGGGATCATTTGATGTGCTGGAGGGCAGGGCTGCCTTTCAGAGGGACCTCAACAAGCTGCATAATAGGGCTGACTGGTACTGCCAGGAGTTCAGCCGCTGCATTGAGCCCATGCAAAAGTATGGCCTGGGGAAAACAGAGCAGGGAAAACAAAGGAGAGAAAAAAGCTCTGGAGAAAAAGGCCTGGGGTTGATCTCAATGGATATCAAGTTGACACGTTAGCAGTGCATCCTTGTAGCAAAAAAATCCACCAGGACATCCTGGGCTGCAGCAGGATCGCTAAGGACAGCGATCTTCCCCTCTATTTGGCACTAGTGAGACTGCATGTGCAGCACTATGTCCAGTCTGGGGTTCCCCAGCACAAGAGGGAGGATGAGGTACTGGCCCAAGCCCAGCAGTGGGCTGCCATGCTGCTCAGGGCTGGAGCACAAGGGGTGCAAGGAGATGCTGCAAGGGGTGGGTTTGATCAGCCTGGAGAAGGCAGGGCTGAAGGCAGGGAGCTTTTAGTTGCTGCCTGCAGCTGCCTCGAGGAGCCAGAGACTGTTCAGAGGGGGACTGTGATGGGATGAGAGACCATGGACAGAAGTTGTGTCCTGGGTTCAGCAGGATATTCATGTATTTTATATTTGAATATGAAATTCATTATATTAATATTTGAATATGAAATTCAAATTTCATATTAGGGAAGTTTTCTTTTCCTTGCTGTGAAGAAGGACAAACACTGAAACAAGCTGCCTGAAGTTGTTGTTTTCTTCGTGCCATGCTTATCATATGCTCTGAGGTTTGTTCTAATGTACCTTTTGTCCTCACAGGGTACTTCGGCTTTATCTTTCTGAAATGTCTAGAGGGAACAGAGTGTTCTGTTGTCACCAGCAGCACTATGAGAATGATAGGACTCTGAACAGAAAATGCAGTACAATGGACAGGCAGGGAATGAGGCTGAACAGCTCAATGTAAGTTATTTCAAATACATTGCCTGAAATGCTTTGCTACTCTGGCAAGACAAGCCCCGAACGATACAAGCCCCTCCCTGGGGAGCAGAATTCATGTAGAAAATAGTTTTAAAATGCTTCCATTGCACAGAATTCCCCCTGTTCTCCCTGCCCACGTTGGTTGTTCCTTCTACTCAGGGCTAGCTATGGGGGAGTAAAATCCTGACTTGCCAAAGATGGATTTGGTATCAGTGTAGCAAGAATTTCACTCTGGCTTTTGGGACCCTTTGAAATACTTTGGAAAATGAGCTGAAAGTATAACCAACCTATCATGATTGTGTCTTTTTCCTGTCCATGTCTTCATGGCAAAAGACCTTTGAAGCTAAAGGCTGATGAAAATCGGTATCTGTATAGACACTATATATGTGCTTAGATACATGCATGCCCACATGCACATACACATGTATATACATATATATGTATATACCTACATATATATATATATGTGTGTGTATATATATACACACACACATGTTCAAAAGGACAGCTCTAAGAGACTAGAATCATGCTTTGGTGAACTCTCTGGTTAGGATATAGTCCTGAATAGGCAGAATTACCAGGGAATAACCTAGATACTCAGGTAACAGCATTTCTTTGTTTGTGATGGATGTGTGTTTAAGGGCACTGCTATGCATATGATAATTTGTTGGGGTCTTTATTCCATGACAATGAATTAGTGGAACGTGAACCCTTCACCTCTGTCTTTCATCTGCCTAATTTTACAGATGTGCTCAAATACCCAAATTAAATAGAAGTAACCAGAGAACCCCAGGATCTGCAAGGTGAAGTGGATGCTTATGTGTTTGGTTTGCCATCTGTTTTCCTTTGAACCAAATACCTGTGTTTTCAGTCCAAAACAACAGCGTGCATTTCTTTTATTATCCGTGCCCCTTGCCTCCTATTTAATCATCTTTTTATATTTTATTAGAACTGTTTACAGACATGAATTAAGTAATTAAAAGTCCTCTGGAAAATTCTGAGCACCTGTTCTGAGCCTTAAATACTGCTTACACAATTCAGCAAGCTGCGAGGCTTTTATTTATGGGACAGATCCTTATTAAAGAGCTGCACTTTGCACTTCTGTTTTGCAAGGCAGCTGTTAAAGGCAAAGAGGAAGCTGGCTGCTGCTGGCTCTAATTATTACAAATGATGCAACAGTTGTTGCTGCAACAGAGAGGTAAAAATTACTTATTTATTTATTTTTAAATCATAATGATGGCTCCATGTTGGAATGAAATGTTGCTACTGACTTGTTTTTAAACTGATAATTTCTATTGGCTTTACTCCATGAACCACAAGGAAAACACCTGGCAAGCTTCTTGATCCCAGCCAGCTCTTGTTAACCTTGTGGCCTTCACAGTAACTATCAGCAGGCACCAAGTCAGTGGTGCTAATAAACTGGCATTAAAACCTCCACCTGCTAATAACATCTTACTGCTTTTCAGTATCAAATAAAGGGAAATTATCTGTTTAATTACAGTCAAAGAAATTTTGCAATGCTCTGCTGCCTTGGATGGTGATACTAATCATGAAATGCGTTTAAGGACACGGCTACATGAACTGATTGTACAGAGGTAAGCTAGAATGGCAGTAGCTACTGTATGTTAACTTTCTGCTAGGCTTTTTGCCTGTAATAAACGTGAAACACCTTATTCTTAAGTGAAGGTGAGATAAACTGGGGATAGTCTTTTCACTAGGTGTAGACACTTGTAAGCAAGGCTGTATCCAAGGGATTTTCTTTCTCCTCATTGCTGCTCCCTTATTATTGGTAATCCTTTGCTAGTTTGCTTTTTGCTGGTTTGCTTGTTTGTTTCTCCACTTCAGCAAAAAGGCCAAGCGTGCATCACTTATTCTTTCCTAAATGAAGTTGCAGCAGGCCAGGTAAGACTTTGATATATGTTACAAAGCCAGGGTAGTTCAGCTGATGTTTTCCTTTCTTGAGGTAATAAGACATTCAAATAGCATTCAGAGTGTTGTTCTGCCCCCAGGTCAGGAATGCTGGTCCTCTTGAGCTAGCCCAGGTACCCAGCTTGTTTCTACTTATGAACTTGCGCATGCTGACCAAAACCCTTCTTTATGTTGCTTGTAATATACCATTGAACTAATGTGCTGTATATAGGCTGAAGACGGTGCAAGAGGGCCTGTTACCATACTGTTTATTTCCTGGAGGAAGGCACATCTGGGAAAAGCACTGGTGAAAGCCCTGAGACCTCTGCAGACAGAAGAGGAGAAGATGATCTTGAGCCAGTTGTGCCTGCTACTTGAATATCTATTTATCATTGCCCATGGCTCCCTCACAAGCCATTATGCTACTACTTTTTCCTGTTTCTGGGTTTCCAATGAGTACTGTGCAGAACCTTTGATTTTAACACCTGCCAACACAACTGTTCATCCAGGGTTTTTCTTATATGAAAGGCTTTTTATTCCGGAGATTTCCAGAGTGCCTTATACAAAAATATATTGCTTGATTCAGCTTCAAATTTCCTTCATATCATAGGTGTCTAATAACTTTCTTCTCTCTCTTCCCCCACCCCCCCTTTTCCTTTCTTTTCCATTTGCTTGAAGAAGGAACCAGAGCATACAGCAAGTGATCTCTTCCACTAAGCATATCTTCTAGGTCAAAAAGAAAGTCTGTGGCAGACCCAAGAAAAGACTGAAGAGATACCTTTAGCCAGAAAATCAATCCTATTCTGATATTCTATGTGCAGCAATAAAGAAGGGAGAAGGTACTGGGAAGTAGCTAATATATTTATTCTGTTAAGAGGATGTTTTTGCAGTCTGATTTTTCTGCCTTACTTTTCAGGAGCACATGGAGGAGCAAACACCTTGCCTGGAAGTCCCATGTGGGTTACAGGATGGGTTAGTATTTCTGTCTTTCAGGCATACATGCTTCTTTGCTTCGTTTTCCAATTCTTACCTAAATGCCTTGGATATTTTAGGGGCAGAATTAGCTGGATATTGAAGCACCAATAACACAGTCCCCATGGAACTGTGGTTTGGATTTTTGGATGTTTTAGAACAGGGAACACAAATACCACTTCCTTAATCATACTGTAGGTGGAAGATGCAATGCTCTACTGGCAGTTGGTCCTCTTACCTGTTCAGATGTTGCCACCTTCACAATGTGTTTTCAGCAGGAAGGGATTTCATATCGATATTGCAACCTGTCTGAATTCCAACAATTTTAAGAACTTGAAATATAAAGATCCATCAAAATCAAGATTATCCTTTTAAAAACAGGTATAATGTAACAGTACTTTGCTCTTAATCATCTAGTGGAGTCTCTAATATGTGGGAACGTTTGGACCAGCAAGCATAATTACATAGTGAATGGAATGAGGAGATATGTATCATTGCACCTGCCACAAGTCAGTGAGTTAAGAAGTCCCACAACAGAGTCCAACATCTCACTACTTCCAGGGAGCGAAATAAGGACTCAGGTGGAGGAACTGTAAAGGCAAGGGGAAATAGTTCATGTCAGCCCTGTTTCAAGAACTTACTGTCGTTATTTATTTCTCCTGTGAGCCTTGGCTCAGTTGGCAGCATTATTGCAGCTTTACTGTGGTGAGCTGTTGAGAGGTGGTATCTTCCAAGACAATAAATCTTTACAGGGACAGGAAAACATTAATGCAGTACATGCTGTTTGGGTGTTTATAGTTTTGCTCTTTTTAATTCTGTTTTGCAGAGAAGCTGTTGTTGTTGGGAATGCTTATACAGCTGCTGTCCTGCTTTCTAAAAAGAAAAGGCATTTCTTACCTCTTTTTTCCCCCTAAGTTTGCTTTTTTTAATCTCTCCTGATCAAAACATAGGCAGTGTATTTCTGATAGGAGAGCATTTTAAAAATGACTTGTGAACAGTGTGGACAGAGGAATAAAAGGCCACAATTACCTACATTTTATTTTACATTAGAAGGTTTGTATGGCAATAGTCTCTAGTGAGACAGGAAAATCATTGCATGGTGCACATCTGACTTTCTGAAGATCATCAGGTTATGACAGATGAGCTAATCAAAGACAAGAAATGCTAAATATCTGCAAGTCTTTTAAGTCAGTTGTCTCAGATTTGCAGGGTTAGCTGTGTGCCTATAGCTTAATGAAGATATTAATTGTTTCAGTCAGTATGAGTGAACTCAGATATGCCACTCTAACAAGTGCTTGTGTGTGGTCCCTTAGCCCACCGGTTTTGGTGCAAATAGTTACAAACTGCAAATTTGCACGTTTTCATGGTGCTCGTGTTAGGAAATCAGTTCTGCAGCTGTTAATTTGCATAACACCTCCTTTCTCCTATTAATGTTTCCTATGTGGGGAAATTTCCCACACAGGCCATGTGCTCTCCTTCCTGATTATGGAAATGGCTTATAGCACACAGGCAAAACCTGAGGGGTTTTATGAGATTGTATCTGTTGGGCTGGACTCTCGCCTTACCTTACTCTTTGAGTCTTGCATACTTTCATCCCAGGTGAGGCATAAATCTTTATCATAAGATTTAAGGGGAGAAAACCTGTTTATCCTCCTTATGCTTTTACCCTGCTGTTACCAAATTTAGGGTAAGAAAACAGTGTCCAAGTGGACATGAAAGGAAACGAAGTGGCTGCCTGTCACTGTTGGTGCCAGAAATCCTAGGAGTGTAACTTTGGAACATACAGAAAACTAAGGCACGATGTTTCCTATGTTGTTGACAACTCCCATGTATTGTAGACATCTCCTGTTGTGTTCTTTATGGCACAACTCGGGACACTGGTACAGAAGGAGCTAAAGCAGTTCTATCTAGTGTCAGTAGCAAGTAGGTTAAAGAAACAACTGGCATGGAAGAGAGAGCCCAAGCAAGTGTTTTTCTACCATGGTTCTTTTTGTCACTGTAAGAATGACTCTTGTGGCACCGTGTTAGTACTTCGTGCTAGCACTGGCACCTTGACATACTCGGTGGGTTTGCTGATCCTAATGCCCATAACTGTATGTTCTGCTGAGTTTTGTAGATTCAGTGGCTACAGAGAGGAAACAGCACAGTAAGGAAGGCTGATGATTATGGGAACTGGCAACCCAACTAGTCCTGAAGATTTTACCAGTATCAGCTGCTTAGCAGAAAGCTAGTACCACTCTGAAGACATGCTAGCATAGTAACTTGGTCAGGTTGGAAGGGGGTACAGTGGAATGTTAGTCTCCACTTTAACGTCCCTGAACCAACCTTCCCAGGGGAAAAGACACCCGTATAAACCTTGCTTATCAGCTAATATAAGTTTATTTTCTGAGGAATTCTTTTTTTTCCTCTATTCTTTCAGCCAGTTTGCAATCAGGTTTAATAATTTATTTAAAGAAAAGTAGTTACAACAATATTTATAGCTAACAGACACAGAAAAACACATTCAGTGCTGGTATGATGGCTTGACTTCGAGGGTCACTGAAATCAGAATAGGGTATCAAATCTCAGCAGAGGTCAGTATTTTTGAACCAAATGTTGGGCTCCTGTTTGAATGACATTTAGCAACAAACTTTCCCAAAGGTGAACTGTCTGCTATGAGAGTCTTGTTTGGGAGACAATAGATCTAACAATGTGCTCATGAAGGGTTGCTTTCTAAAAAGCAAAGCAGCACACTCAATGGAGCAGGAAATGGGAAAAGGCATTTTGAGGGCCTGTGGGTGTTGTTTGCAGGTTTTTGTTTTGGTGGTTGTTGTTTGTTCTAGCCCTTTACGATGAGAAGGCAGAGAGAAAGGATGCCAGGTTGTTGAAAGTGAACCTAACTGTTGAGCTGGAAATACAATATCCTGGGGAAATTGGGTGGCTTCTTTCATGTAGCTGGCTACATGACAAGACTGGTGGGGAAGCACAGGGAAGCTAGGAATCTGATGAGCTGGCAGTGTAGTGGGGCAGAATAACAGAGTGTGGATGGAATAAGAATTGGGTTGGTCAAGTGCCTTTGGTGCTGGAGTGTGCACTCACTGCAAAGCATTTACAGAACTGCTAGTTAGATACCTGTAGCGTAGCATCCAGGCAGTCAAACAAATCTCCTGTACAATAAATTGCACAAAACATGGTTGGGTTTTTTTTTGTTGGGAGTTGAGTATTTTATCAAGTATCTGGTTAGCCCAGGTTTGGCAGGCAAATCCCATGAAAACTCAGGATAATGGCCAGCCTCTCACAGGCTGGGGACTCATCAGGGATCTTCTGCATTGCAAGAAACTCAAACCAGAAGGCTTCTTTTTCTTTTGAAAAGCTGAATGGGAATATTTCTCTAAAAGTTCTTCTCTAACAGGTATTTTTCTTCAATAATTAGAAACAAAACTATTGGTAAAAGAAACTCTGTAGGACCTGTGCGTTCAACAGCGTCTTCTTTACCACAGAGCTGTGTTAATGGTGTCTTCGGCACTGTGTTCCTCTCTGTGTGTGATAGGAGATGCAGATGGCCTGTCATGACCTGGATCTTGATCTCTATGTAAAGTGCTCATTTGAAAACTGATGGGGAGACCAGCCTGATTTTCCGGAGTTAGTGGGATGCACTGAAGAGAACAAAATGAATGAGTCGGTGAATGAGGGCATACTTCTGGTTTCTGCCAGGAAGCTTAGCCACAACTGCTATACCACAGTGTGCTCTAGCTACCATTTGCCCTGTACATTAACATGTAAGTATTTCTAATGGGCATCAGCCACGTGAAGAACCACTCTCGGGGCAGTCCTCTGTTCTGACTGGTGTCACTAGCTTCTCTCTTGATTTCTGGTAGACTTTCCAGTATAAGCAGTCTTTTGCCAATCTGGTCTTACATTATGTTGGTTTATACCTTACCCTCAGGGTTTTGCAGTGCTTACCTAAACCGGACTTCTCAATGCATAGTTACCATAGTGGACTATGCAGAGTAGGGGTTGTTGTACAAGGAGCCATATCTACAACTTGTGGCACATGGGACTTTAGAAGTGCTGAAGAATGATCTTTACTAATGGTGTCTGTAAGGCAAATGCAGTCCCACTTTCTGTACATTCTTTTGTTTGCAGCACTGGCAAAGGGATAGACATCAAGGCAGGAAGGCTACCAAGAATCTAAAGTGAACATGTACAGGCATGCTGGTGCATTAATATGTATGAAAGACACATGGTTTCTCTTGCAAACAGAAACACATCCTCTGTAAAGAGTGATAAGCCCAAGGTTGGTTTTTTTTTGTCCTGTGACACTGTCTATAATTGCTAGGAAGAAAATAGGCTTAAATGTAAAGTTTCTAGAGCACTGTTCAGTATCCATAGAGTGGATTTTCAGCACTATTTTTAGCTATTGCTTGCTGGGTTAGAATGCAAATAGCTGTGTGTGCTCTGAAGCTGCAGAGGTCCATAAAGACAGAAAATAGTCACATTCCAGGGGAAATTGTGCCATCCCTCTCGTGTCTGTCCTCACAGATGAGTCTTAGAAATTTTTTGCTTCATTACTGCCCAGTGTTCAACCTATTTCTGTTAACAGTATTTGAAGCCCATGGCCTTTTGGCTACTGCTGATATATTTCCATTAATACAGTTAGACAATGTTCTTGTATACACCAGTCTATCCTAAGTAGAAGTAGCGGTACCAGTGCTACTCTTTGCCAACAGGTTGTCCCTCAAGTAAAGATCAGTCTTGAGCAGTGGGGTAAAAATGTCACACCTTTTTCATAATGGAACAATGAATTAACAGCTGGAGAGCAGATCTGAAGTGAAATGCTATCTGAGTTTTTGTTTTCCAAACCAGCTCGTTTTTCCTTAAATGAACTTGAGGAGTGATATAATGAATCAACAAAATGAGAAGAACCTTGTTTGGTGCTCTATCCTAAACAGGAAGGTTGTAGCAACCTGCTGTACTATTATTTACCTGAAGAACTATATAGGTAAAATAATATCTATATTATTATAATATAGATATTATATAGGTAATTTTCATTCTGAGAAGAATATAAGAGACTCCTTTTGTAAGTTCAGTGGTGCATCCTCTTGTATATTTTAAGAAGCTTTCAAATATTGGGTTGGGAATTACAGAAAGGCTGCTTCCAGCTGTGCAACAGTGTAATCTGTGCCGGTATATATAAATATATATATATATAAAGCAGGGCACTGACAAAATGTGTCCTTTCACACTGCTCATTTCACTTCTGCTACAAGCGCTCCTGGTAAGCTTAAAACAATGCTATGGCTAGATAATAACCCTAATACTGGTAACAGTACCGGTAACAGTGCAGCAGTATTTCTGGAACCAAACAGAAATCCTGTTATTTTGGCTGCAGCTATGTAAGATCTTGTGGCACTTGGGATGAAGTATCAGTCTGGTACCCTTTTATTCCTGTTGATCTTGCTCAGAACTTAGGTAGCACCAAGAGCCCCCTTTCTTATGTGTTTCCTCTAAAATTTGTTTTCATTTTGGCTTGGTTACAGCCTCTTTATTGCAAACAGGCTCTTAAATTTCCTAGACTGAAATCATGCTGGGAAGGACACCTGGGAGTCAGTGAAATTTAGTGGTGGCAGTAGGGGACCATTTAAAGGCTCTGTTGAGATCCTTAAGAAAAGGTGAGGCCTGGAGATACAAAGAAAGTGGCTGTATCACATGCTGTATGCTGAGTATCATCTAAACGTGCAGCTGCTTCTTGATTTAAGCATCCTTCCATTAACTAGCTGCTTCAGTTCTGGCAGAACTATTTTGGGTCCATTTCCTGCTGCAGACACAATGGGAAAGACTGGCTCTGGGGAGCCCTGGCTTACCTCCGAGCAGGCAGAGGGCAATGTGAGAACAGTTGCAAATCATTCAGGGTACTTCAGTTGTATTGCTGATTGTAACTAAAGCCCATCAACACGCTCCCAGTTTGGTAGTGAAACATGGATTATTTGTCCTGGTTTTTGCAGCAGGTTTAATTTCCTTTGCAACTGAAGTGTAAGCATCATCTATGAGGAAGCGTTTCTGTTACAAGACAAGAGTTGCTTTATATACAAAATGTAAACTGCTTCAAATTTATCAGCAGAGCAGGTGACAATTCAATCTTGGGGCAGAAAAATAATTGTGCTCTAAAACCATGTACAGTACTGACATAGTATCACTGACTTTATTAGGATTATGCATTATTTCACAGCCTTTAGAGCATTGGCTGGCTATGCAACGTGCAGGTCGTTTTCATGTTTGCCAAGAGTCTTAATTCTAAGTAATCTTTCTCTCTCTGTGCTTGAAGTTTCTGCAAGCTCATTGTCTAGATAACACTGCTCCACCACCACGCCTGTGTGTGTTTTGGCCACTGCATGTGTAGGTAATGAATATGTATGTAGGTAATAAAACTCTTTAAGTAAGTTTCAAAGTCTCCTGACTGCTATAA